TATTTTTTTGTTTTTTTTCCTCCGGATTGGAGCGTGTATTGTCTAAATGGGTTCGGTGATTCTCCATTATTGGAGCTTTGTAGTTTTCTTGATTGTGTTATGGGTGTGTTATGCTGTTAGCGTAGGTTCTAGGCGATCCTCGGATCTGACCTCCCAGTTTTCTTCGGCTTGTAGCTGTTTCATTCAGCTGTGAGTTGTTTCTTTGTCTTCACTTTTGTGCATTTTTATAAAATCTCTATCATTTTGAAAAATAAAATAAAAATTGCATCACATATGCTAGATTAATATCAATAAATATCTGTGGAGCTCGAATACATGGAATTTGTAACATATTGCTATGAATTCAATATTCGCTAAGGTAATAAAGAAAACAATTCCATTTTAATTATATACTAGTACGAAACACAGTATATTACAGGTTGTTAGGTAATAAATTTACACTTACATATATAAAAGAAGACCTCATTGCAAATGCCCATTGGCAAGACAAAACATAACACCGGGAGTGCATTGTGTACTGCTTTGACCAGAATCTCTTTTCAAGTAGTAGAAAGAAACTGATTTTTCCTGCTATAGATTCGTATACTAACTCTAGTCCTTTGTACTGATTTCTTTACTGACCAGCTTAACCATTCGAGCTAACGAAATTAGGAATATTATTCGCTCTTCGCATCAGCTATCAAAATAGGCAAAATGCCTGCCGGGGGAGAGTGAAGCAAGACGAACTTAGCTCTTGTATTGCCTTAGCCATCCATCACAAACTAAAGGCTTCCTTTTTTGAGGCACCAATCCCCTGAGGGAGCCCTAGGTATCTTGAAGATGTCTTAACTATCACCCCATTGAGGATTGAGCAGATTCTCTCTTGAGTAGCCGCTGGACAATTTTTGCTCAAAAACATGATGATTTATGAAGATTGACCTTTTGCCTAGCAAATTGTTGGTAGTTTTTTAGCAAAGACATCAACAACATAGCATGATGATCATCAGCTTTATAGAAAACAAGTGCATCATCAGCAAAGAGTAAATGTGAAATCATAGGACCATATTTAGACAATTTAATACACCTGAATATATCCTTTTCACATTGAAAGCCATGACAGTCGAGATAAGCTCAGAGACCAAGAGAAAAAGGTAGGGTGATCAAGGATCACCCTGCCTGATTCCTCTGGTTTGAGTCATGAATCAACAAACACTCTAATTCAAGCTGAAAGAGAAGGATGGTGTTGATACACAGGCCATGATCCATCTGATGGTCAACATGCAAACCCATTTTCTTCAGTCATTCTGATGCAGTTCAACTCACCCAGTCATATGCTTTCACCATATCCAACCTGATTGCCATAAACACATTATTACTTGTCATGTGTCTGTTAAAGAAGTTGAACACTTCATGAGCAAGCACCATATTGTCTAGAAGTTGTCTCCCTGGCACAAAAGTTGTCTGAGCTTTACGAATACAATCACTGAGGCACGTCTTGAGTCTCTCTGCTAGCACCTTGGCAATAATTTTAAACAAAACTCCACATAAACTTATTGGCCTGTTGTTACTCAAATGCTCAGGATAAAGGCACTTCGGGATTAAATTAATCACTGTATGGTTCCTATTCTTGAGCATTTTTCCAGAAGAAAAAAAAAACTAGTAACAGCCTTGCAAATATCAGTTTTCAGAAAATGCCAAAAATGTTGGAAAAAAGAGGTTGACATACCGTCTTCAACGGGTGACTTTTCAGGGGCCATGTTAAAAAGAGCAGCTTGGATCTCTTCCTCTCTAACATGGTTGATTAGGTCATTGTTGGTGGCATCTGAGATAGAGTTTGGAATATGCTGCAGTAACTCTTCTCCCCCAATAGAACCCTCTGATTGAAAAAAGAGAGGAATAGAAGCTGACAATGTGATCCTCCAAATCTTCTTTGCTCTCACACACAGTTCTTGTTCATGTCACTAATCTTTGAATGGAATTTCTCTTCCTTCTTTGAGTTGTATAGGCATGAAAAGAGACGAGTGTTTTTGTCCCCAGCTTTAAGCTGTTATGCTCCGGACTTCATCCTCCAAAAATGCTCTTCCTCTTTATGAGCATTATCTAACTCATGCTTGGTGGCACCCCATTCTGACCAATTTGTATAACCATCTTCAGCTCTCATCTTGTCCATGTTTCAAGTCAGCACCTGGATTAGTATCTCATTATTCCTCTTAATGGGTTTATACCAAGCCAGCAAAGCCATTCTTGTGTTTTGAACCCTCTGATGCACCTTGAACATTTCTGAGCCTTCAATATTACCCTGCCATCCTTTTTTTCTGCAGCTTCACTAATGCCTTCCAATTTCAGCCAATTACTGTCCACATAAATCTCTTTCTTGTTGCTTCTATCTCCATCTCAATGTCAAAGAGCAGGATATTATGGTCAGAGGCACATCTATAGAAGTTAGGTACCTCTATTTTGGGATACTTTAGCAGCTAATCCATTGAAGTGTACACTTTATCCAGCCTCTCTTCCACATATCCAACCCCAATATTGTTATTGCCCCAGGTGAAAAATACACCTCTTTTATCCTGCTCTTGCATCTCCATCCTCATACTGAACTCTATAAAAGCCACAAAACTATGACCAGGTCTTGACTTACCACCTCTTTTCTCTTCATTGCTCACGAAGTCATTCAAGTCCCTTGCTATGGCCCAATAACTTTCCCAAGTCCTCTTCCTCTCATACATGAATTCCATTTGTTGCTCTCTTTGATATTTGTCAGTACTCAGATAAACAAAAATCAACCAGCACCAATCACTAAGGGCTGGTCCTCTAGATTTTACTTGGAGACATTCCCAATAATATTTTTGATTTATATAAACTGATCCCACATAAGGAGTAATCCACCTCTGATACATGCAGGTTCTTCCAAATGCCATCTATTTTGGAACCCCAATTTAGTAAAAATAGTTCTAGTATAATCTTTAGTATTTTTTTGTTTCTGATAGAAAAATGAGCTGAGGGTGGTGGATTCTTCTTAAATCCTTGATTTGGGAAACTGTAGAAGCCTCACCCAGCCCTCTATAAATTCTCACCATTGCCTTCATTGATCATTGTGGGGCCACTTGAGCCTAACCTTCTCCACCTTCTTTCTTGATAGTTCGACTCTCTTTTCCTGATGTTCCTTCTCACCTCTAAGGTGCTCCACTACCTGCAGCTATAGATCATCACCTCTCTCTCTCTTTTACTTCCGTTAATAGACAATTTGTTTTCTGATATAAGAGGATCCCTCGTGAGTCTCCCTAATCTGGCAGAGGACCTTTTCCAAGTCCTTTTATTATCATTCAACTGCATCTAACTTCAGTGTTTGCCTCCTGATTATGATCCGCCTCTGAAATGGGCATCAGTTCTTGCATCTCCATAACCCCTTCTCTATTCTTCTTCCCCTCCTTCATCTTCAGCTGCAATTTGTGATATTACCAGTTCCATGGACTTCCCCGCTCCTTCTCCTGAGGGAGCTTTAGTAGTTGTTGCCACACCATCCCTATTGTCACCCATTTCAGAAGGAACAAGTTGTTTGGATGTGCTTACAGCTGCATTTGACTCCAAGTTTGAGATCATTTGAGGGGTTGGCTCCTTTTGTTCTGAT